AGCAGGGAGCCCGATGTGGGACTCGATCCCAGGACCCTGGGATCATGACCTGAGCCGAAGGCAGACGCCTAACGACTGAGCCACCCAGGCGCCCGAAGGTTCTATTTTTCTACCCATTTTTATTCTACCCATTTTACAGGTAAAGAAACCAAGGTACAGAAACAGAAGGTTAAGTAATAATGTATCATTTTAAATAATGGAATCACTCAGATGATTCCAGTGCCCATTCACTTAATTCATTCAATAGCCTCATTTAATACCCTCACATTCAATACTGATACTCTCTCATAATAATTTGCTAATGTTGCTCTCTCTCCCCATTTGTCTGTGAATTTCTCAAGGGCAATAAATCTCTCTTCACTCTGAACCTCCAGCACCCAGCACAGTGCCTGGCACACCTGATGAATGAATGAATGAATGAATGTCATTCAGTGATATATATGAATCCCTTTGACAAATCCAAGCACATTAAAGAAAACCAGTGTTTCTTTTTTATTGAGATATAATTGACATATAGCATTGTATTCGTTTCAGGTGTATAGCATAATGATTTGATATTTGTGTATATTGCTAAATGAGCACCACAATCAGTCTAGTTGAAACCAGGTTCTTAAGGAAGGAAAACTTAGCAAGTGTTAAAACACAGGTAATGAAACATGGGCAAAGCACAGAAGAAATCTGACTTTTGAATCAACGGAGCCTACTGAATAGAAGTTGAGGACTTGTGGCAGGGGTCTGGGCACAGAGAAGGCTCTCTGTGGAGTAAATTACTGGATGGCAGAGGCCTGTGGTCCAGAGGCAGAAATGTGGTACTCCAACAGTCAGGAGCCTGGTGTGTGGGATGCTGGGCCAGGTGTGGATGCACATGCACAGTCTGAGCAAAAGTGAGGGGGAGTATGGAGACACATAAGAGACTCAGAGAGGGCTGATACATTTTGGAAAAAGCCTGAAGGGGAAAGATGAATGGATTAAGAAGACAGAGGGATGATGATATGTGCTTGGGGCAAGGTCAGGAAAGCTAAAGAAAAGTAAAAGGAGGGGCACCTGCTTGGCTCAGTCAGTAGAGCAAGCCAGGGTCGTGAGTTCAAGCCCCACCCTGGGCGTGGAGCCTACTTAAAGAAAAAAAAAGAGAGAGAGAGAGAAAAGTAAAAGGTGACTTCAAATATTTTAGATAAACTATGCGATGTGCAAACATTTCTGGAGTGCCTGCTCTACGCCAAGCCTGTGCTGGGTGCCAGGAAGACTGGTAACTGGGACAGTCGCTGTCCTCAGGGAGCTCCCAGTAACCAGTGGCAAAATACGGAGGGAGGAAAGTACGAAACTTAGCCCATCAGGGGAAGCTGACACCTAAGTTCTGAACAATGATTAGGCGAGGCCTGGCAGTCCAAGGGAACAGCGAGTACACAGGCAGGAGGGCGAGGGACAGAAGGGTGGAGGGGGCTATAATTAGCTTGACAGGCAAAAACAAGGCAAGCGTTGGGAGGAATGACTGGGAAAGGGCACAAAAGGGGCTCTTGTGGATGTTGGTAACATTCTGTTTCTTAATCTGAGTGCTGATTACTCATCATTTTGTGAAAATTCATGGAACTGTACACTAACAATTTGTGCACTTTCTGTATATATCTTATAAATACTTCAAATAAAAAGTTATAATCTACAAAGTCTCAGCACGCAGGTAGGTAGGGGTCAGGTGATAGATTGCACAATCATCCCAAAGCATTGACCGACAGGCCCAGACATGACATCTCAAATAATGCCTGAAACTGCAGCCCCATCTGGACAAGAGCTAGGGCATCGTACTCATCTAACCGGGAGGAACTATGCCAAGAGGACTGTTTTACCAAAACAAGATAGCCTACTATTTATCTGCTAGTATGGCCCAGATATTTGGATACTAGGTTTTCTGTCCAAGCCCTAGTCTCTGGCCTTATGATGGGACTATTAAAGTAAATCAGTCACATGTGTATGCCCTGGCTATAGTATCTGGGAATTTCATTATCTACCCATCTAGCTTTGAGTATGTTTTCCAACTCTCTCTTTGTATCAGGGCGGGGGCCAAATCAAGCCTTGGCAAGACCTGGGGTAACAGTGCCTCCCAGGTACTGTACCTTGAAGCCATCTGGGCCCCGGGTAGTGGCAGAGCTACAGGATAGAGCAGGAATGCAGACGAGGTGGGGCTCTGGGGGCTGGTTCAAGATACGGACTACAAGTGGAATGAGCAGAGAGAGGTCACAGACAGTGACCCCGTACCAGGACAGACAGTGGGACAGACCGGAACGTGACGAAAAGGGCTGAGATCCTCTAGGACTCTCAGAAGAGGAAGCTGCACTAGGGCCTGAGCAAAAAGCAAGATTGCTGGGAAAGAGGAGCTGATGCTGGGGGCTGGCCCACCATACTACATTCCATGCCAAGTGCTCTTTTAACAGGGCAGGCACCCTCGGAGTAGACCATCCATATCAGTGATGATAATAATTAATTGAGCACATACTCTGTTCTGGCCACAGCTGTAAGCACTTTACATGTATTAAGTCCTTCCAATAACTCCATAAGGTGGGTACTATTATTATTTCCATTTTACAGAAAAGAAAACTGAAGCACAAAAAGGTTGTTTGCCCAGGGTCACAAAACTAGTGAATAATAATAATAGGATATGAACCCAGTCTCATTCCAAACCCCACACTCTTTAACTACATCACTATGCTACCTTCTTTTTTTTTTTTTTAAGATTTTATTTATTTATTTGAGAGAGAGAGAATGAGAGACAGAGCATGAGAGGGAGGAAGGTCAGAGGGAGAAGCAGACTCCCTGCCAAGCAGGGAGCCCGATGTGGGACTCGATCCCGGGACTCCAGGATCATGACCTGAGCCAGAGGCAGTCGCTTAACCAACTGAGCCACCCAGGCGCCCACCATGCTACCTTCTTGATCTCAATCCATAAAAATCATGATAAGCAGAGCAACTATTTGTTGAATGGGTTGTGCTAAGGAAGTATGCTAAGCACTTTTTATTTCTTGTTTATTCTTCCACTAATCTATGAGGCAGACATTATCTCTGTGATCAAACGGAAGCTCCCGAGGCTTTGTGATTTGCCCAGGGCTACAGAGCTGGTAACTAGAAACTAGCAAGTTTTGAAGCTGCTGTGATCTGAAAAAAACGCAGGCTGCTTTATCATGAGCAGGGCTTTCCCTAGAGAAGCCCCATATGGAAGCGATGGCTTAGGCCTAAGGATCATTGCTCTGCCATTGCTCTTCCAGGGCTGAGCTCCAGGAAGAGACCCTCTCATTTTTACCTCCAAGTCCTCCCCAGAAGGCTCAGGGAGCCCCTATCAATCCTGAGGGATCTTTTAAAAAAGAGGGCATTATTAAGAGTAACAACCAGCATCACTATTTACTGGGATCTTAGTACATCCCCCACACCATGCTGTGTTTTACATGCACCATCTTTATATCTGCTCTGCACAGTAGGGACTGTTTCAATCCCATGTTATAGATAAGGAAACTGAGGACCAGAACAGTTAACTGATTTGGTCAAGGTGATACAGCCAGGAAATACGGGAGCTGGGATTAGCTACCAGGTCTGTCCGACATCAGAGTAGCCTGAGCTCTTAATTACCCTGGACTGCCTCTGAGAGTCCTTCTTTCTCCTTGAGAAGCAAGTCCTGTCGCGCACACACACCTCTTTTGGTGAAACAAGGAGAGTTGGAAGGGTCCTTAGGTGGCAAATCTCAAGAATTCCTAGTTTGGAACATCTCATTATTGACAAACACCAATAGTGAACAAGCAGGACTCCCATTAACATGTTTGTTTCCCTTTTTATTAATTTTTAAGATTTTATTTATTTGACAGAGACACAGCGAGAGAGGGAACACAAGCAGAGGGAGTGGGAGAGGGAGGAGCAGGGAGCCTGATGCGGGGCTCAATCCCAGGACCCTGGGATCATGACCTGAGCCGAAGGCAGACGCTTAATGACTGAGCCACCCAGGCGCCC